AGACAAACAAATAAGGAAATACTCGAGGGGCATTGTCAATTTCGTGAAAATAATTTCGATTGTGATTTATTCGAAAACGTCGGATGTATCTGATGAAAATTTAAACGTCATTTTCCATGATGTCGCCGAATTCTTTTCATATGATAATCGGTAGCTTTGATGGATCGTTCAGTTTTTGAAATACGCATTCCGCAGGAATCGATCCAGCTTTATACAGGATGTAGGACAAGATGCGGGAATAAATACATACGAATTTATGGTAAACACTATTTCGACTATCCGCTCTAATTGCAAATAATATGTACAGAAGAATTTAATTAACTCCAATCACTTACTTTCGTTACTTAGTGTAGAGAGTACGGTACATAATTTTTATATCCATTTAACGATTAATCATAAGTAGTATTTAATTTATCTAACAGAACTTACACTGAACCAAAAAAGTACGTGCAGATAATGAAAAAATACATTAATCCAAGAAATTTTTACATTAAAAGTCGTCCAATAAACGATTTCATTAAATCAATGAACGTTTGTTCATTAAGCGATGAAGAGGTACATTAAGTGATGTATAATTCGTTGATATGATGAAATGAAAATCATTGGTTCGATGAATTAAAGTTGCTGACCCAATAAAGAAGTACATTAATTCAATGTAATATTTTACATTGGTTTAATGAACGGTGTACACTGATTCAACAAATTTTAGATTTTTTCTAATAAATGTAGTACATTGATTCAATGAAATGCTTTCATAGAATCAACGAAATGCTTTCATAGAATCAATGAAACTTAGATCTTGGTTTAATGAATTTCTTTTATTGAATTAAGGAATTTTAGCTTTTGAATTAATGAACGCAGTACATTGAATTAATGAATTTGATTTATTAAATTAACGAATTTACATTTTTTGTATTATTGCTTGAAGAAACTGGTCAATCTTCGAAGAATTATTTTCGAATTATTCCATAAAATTCTTTGCATCATACGCTGGGGCGAAATCCATATCGATCTAAAAAAAATCATGGGTTAATATAGTAGACTGTAAATTCCTATCTACATATCCAGTAAGTATATAGATTGCTCCATTGTTCATTGCAACATAGGCTATGGGTGCAACAAAGATAACTTCAATTAGACACTTGTGAAGGAAAAAGAAACAGTATGATATTATGTCATTGCAACTTTTCACTCTGACAACTGTTATTTTACTAATATTTCTTAGTTCAACTCATAGAAATGCTCATGTTGCAATCGCGAATGAAGCACGGTGTATAGGTAGGTATACTATTGAAGGTACTCACCAAGCTATATCCAAATGGTCGTTTGTAATAAGTTCATTTTATCATCTGAATTTTTGTGCGTTTTTTATGTCACTCAAGCGAAGTTCCAATACATGCTGCATATGTCGAACTCTTCCAATGATAAATTTTCAAACTTCAGAAGTCTTATGCACGTTTCACAAATGTCTTTGGGGCCTAAAAATTTAATATATCCAATAATTTAATGAGTTGTAGTAAAAACCATAAAAACTTACACACATTTTGTATGAATCTTGAAGTTGTTGCACTTATATCTCCCTTAGGCTTTACGTTTGTGTTTAAAATTAAATCCTAGAAAAAAATGTATAAGTATTAACATATAGTGTACCGAATTAAAAAATGCTTACCTCTTAAAACAACAGCGCTTGAATTTTCTTCCTTCTTATAATACAAAACGAAAACGAAATTAACTAAACAGAACACTTCCAGTTCAACGCTTCAACACGAAATAACAGGAGAGAAAGAGGGGTAATTAACGGTCAACGCGATTTTCGAAAGCGTCTCTATCTATTTCTTTTTTTCTAATAGAATAGAACGGCATAGATTTGCACTCTAGTGTGTATTGCCAAAATCCAAACTGATATTCATTGACTTAATGAAAATCGTTCATTAACTCAATGAACTCGAGACAAGAATTTACGTATCCAGTTTGTTGAATCAATGTACGGGCTACATAAAAAATTGCGAATGTGGTTTATCGAACCAATGTATATGCATTCATTGTCTCAATGAACTCGAACATAGAATTTATGTATTAGATTTGTTGAATCAATGTACGGGCAACATTAAAAATGCCGAATGTGTTTTATCGAACTAATGATGTATATGCGTTCATTGGCTCAATGAACTCGAACATAGGATTTATGTACTCAATTTGTTGAATCAATGTACGGGCTACATAAAAAATGACGAATGTGGTTTATCGAACTAATGTATTAATGTTTTTGGTTCAATAATTAAATTTCATTAAAAGTATGAACAATTCGTTATATTAATGTACAAGTTACTTCGATTTAATGTATCGAATACATTAACTGAAATATTCGCTTTTAATGTACTAGGTTATTATATTAATGATTAAATTTCATTGAATTAATAAAAATTGTTATTGAGTTAATGAAATTTTACATTAATAATTAATGTTACAAGAAACATTGAGTTAATAAATGAAATCATTAACTAATGAATGAAAATTTATTGGATTAATGTATTATTTTATTGAGCTAATGAAAACAAGTTGAAAACATGGTGTTCATTGATATTATGTACCAAAATTTTTTCAGTGTAAAATAGCCACTCTGTACGATTTTTGTTACCGGTAAAGCGCGTAGTGGAAATCTCACGTAACGTATCTGGCATCAATCACGTACGACAATGTGGACTTTATTACTATTGACAACTATTATAAATGATGCGAACTATTGTGGATGGTATGCTTTAAATACTTATCTGATCCGGCTCGGTCGAGACTCTAATTGACTTCATCTTGATCTCCGGAGTCGGACTAATTTAATATCGTCCGGCATTGTTGAGGATCGATTTTGATTTTTATTGTGCGAGTTTTTCATTATACGGCCGTGGAGCTGTACAAAGGGCGTTTTAATTCCTTGGGAAAAATTAAGAGCGCATTTGGTGAGCGATTAAAATCGCTCCGGGCGGATTCTTCTTCCGGATTTATCCGTGCGGTGGGTACTTAAAAGGCTGAGCTCGATAGTAATTTCAAGTGGGTTTACGAAAATGAAAATAAAAAAGGAAACGCTTTAAGCCAGCTCGTTTGTCCAAATGATTCATATATTTTCGCTTTTGATCCGATTATGACTCTAAATCCGGATAAATTCAGCTTATTGGTAACGATTGGACACTCCTTAGTTTTAATGCCGATACTGGCGCGATGTTTGTCCCCTGTCACACTCGCTTTTTATATAGAAATCCCCATGAAAGAAAAAAAATGTTATAGACCAGTCAATACCACACTAACACCAATTATACACCATCTTGATTTATTCGCAATTAATCAGCACAATAACCATCAATTCCCTTAAAACTGCATTTAGAGTTAATCGATAATTGTAAAGGCTAGTCATTATCTTAGCATTCTATTCTCGAATCTATAATTACACCGGTTCAGAAGGGAGCTTAATGCCATAAAAACAGAGCTTAATCCTCGCTGTAAATGAGCTTACAAGCGGGCATTGTCTAAACAGCGCAGCATCGCGTCCTGCGGTCGTACAATTGACAGCGAACGTCTTTCGATGGGACGATAAGCCGATTTTATTGTACGTTAATCGCCATCGACGATTAGCCACATCAGAATCGACGCATTAAGTCGACAGTTTTCGGGAATAAACCGATTCGCCTATTAAAAGGCAGAAACGATTTTAATTCTTGGAAAGGACGATGCGCATCTCGCGTCTCTTGTTATTCCTATCGAAGTGTAGGTGGCAATTATTTAAACAGCACAAATATTGCTTAATTCAATTAGTTTGCCGATTACCTACATTTTTATATTTTCATCGAATTATTCTCAGAAACGAAGATATTAATTTAATATTTTTCTATTCCAGTCGTAAGAATCTTCAAGTGCTAAGTTGTGACAACTCCTCCAACGATACGGACCAAGAACTCCTCCAAGTACGGACAATGTGACCGGTTCAGGGGACAAGGAAGCCAGTACGAAGTGATTTACTAATGGATTGTATTAAAAATCCGGAAGAATTGTATGTGTGAAAAACCGCGTTCTATTTGTATATGTTACGGATAAAGCTAGATGTACTAGATATACGAAAGATAATACCCTAAATGAACGTTCCTACTACTGCTCTTTATCATAACACATTGTAAATTGTCGATGAGTAAATTGTTGTGTGATACATTTATTTTAGCCTGTTGTATTCTATTTATAAAATAAATTTTTACATAGAAATATTGTTATTTTTAATTAAAACATATAAAATATTAACGGATTTATATAAAAAGGTACTTTCTATTGAGATTATTGAAAAATTTGGTAAAAATTATGCATTTCTAAGTTTTAATACACGAAATACTGGTTGCCGATGTATTAATTATACATACAACGAATATTTGTCCGATAAAAATTCAATAGATGGCGCATCTAACACATCGCGCACCTTAACGTATGCTTAGGTTACTTAAGAAAGTATAGCTACGGGGTGGTACCGGTGGGGGAGGCTTGGGACCGCAAATATTTTCCAATTATCAAATATTCTACCATTCTACCATGAAGATGATATGAGTTTCTCAAGAATTACTATCGTAATTTTTTTATTTAAAAATGAGCAACATACCCCTACCGTGGCAAAGGAGGTACTGAGCGCTCCGGGCGCCGACATGTTAATTTATTAATTTGAAAAACCACAGTGGCGCCATCTACAAATAAACTGACGACAAATGTAGGAAACTGTTGGTCAGTTTTGTCTATCATTTCTATTGGAATTTATTACAAAGTCGACCAAAGTAATGTAATACCTTTATAAATGACATTTTGACGTTATTTTTAATTGGAACATTGTAATAAAAGGGGTATTTTTATTAAAACTTTTATTTATTAACTGAAATGACAACTTTTTCGAAATCGTCCAAACAGGAGAGGCCAAAGGTCACAGTTTCTCTTTAGCCGGTACCCAAATAATAAATAATACATATAGCATCCTAGACCTATAGTTTTTTGCTCCTCTCGTTCAGTTCCGCTGCTCGAAGAGCCGCCGCTTGCACAGCATCCATTATAGCACCTCTACAAATAAAAACCAGATTAAATTAACCACATCTCGGTCTATCTCACGCCATTCTACCTAACTCTCCCCTTGTCCATGGCGTGTATCCCTGCTAGCGTAGCGGCCGAACAAACCTCGTCCTTCAGAGTACCCATGTGCTTGTCAGTAGCTAGTACCATCTTAGCGGCTCCCATCACCATTTGCGCGGCGAATTTGGTGGCCATCTCTCGGTGCAACCCCATCCTCACGCCCCCGTCCGACAGCGCTTCGATGAAGATGTACACCTACGAGAGATACGAAGTAATTAGTGACTGCATAACCTACTTGAGTACGAGTACTTACGAATGCAGGTCCGCTCGCAGACACTGCCATCACGGCGTCGATCATGTGCTCGGGTAGCAGTTGGCACATTCCGGTGGATTGTAGAATGGTTTCGACGAGATCTAAATCTTCTTTTGTGGCTTTGCTACCCGGACAGTACACGGAACACCCTTCTCCGATGAGCATCGATGTGTTGGGCATAATCCTGACGATTCTGCTACCTTCGAAACTCTGAAGCACCTAGAATTAAACGATATAATAAAGGTTCCTTGGGGAAGTGTAGAAGAATTGGGTAAATTATTACCTTTTCAACGTTATTGGTAGTCAGTCCGGCTATAATGGAGATGAACAATTTGTTCTTCCAACGCCTTCCAACTGTCCAGGTTTTTTATGAAAGGACTGGATACGTACACTTGAGAATAATCTCTCAAGCCTGGAAAATTTTATATTAATTACTTATTGAAATAAATCAAACAAATACCTTTTCGTTTGATTCATCTGCAAATCGCCTTTGCCATGTTGCCGTCGCCGATGAAGCCAATTTTTTGCGCCAATTTGGTCGTGCTAGAGTTGGGACGATATTGTGATGATCGAATTCGGCCAGCAGACAAGCCTCCTTCTCGAAATCGTCCTGCATGTCGTCGGTGACGTCCTCTTTCAGCATTTTCACGGCCACCACGGTGAATTCCTCGCCTTTGATGAGGCCCGGTGCTCGAGCCTGGAAGACGCTGCCGAACGCCCCTTGTCCCATGTCCCTGATGTAGATGATGTCGTTGCGGGGGTACTCCAATTTCTCCAGTTTCATGGCCTGAACGATGCGCATCTCGTGTCTCTTGTTATTCCTATGGAAGAATAGGTGACAGTTATTTAAACAGCACAAATATTGCTTAATTCAATTAGTTTGCTGATTGTCTAATTAAAAACTCGAATCGAGAAAGTACCAACTAAGAACTCGTTATGTAAATGGAAATTTAAGATGTTTTTTTAATGGTATTATGAGACCCATCTGTCCATTTAAAAGTACTTTCTTTTTCTAATGTCACTAATTAGAGCATGGGGTTTTGGTATTGGTCGTAGATGTTGGTGTTTGATAGGCCGGCCAATGGCGTGTGGTGTTTTTTTACGCGCACCTTGAGCTATTTTCATTACGTCCGCTGGTCACGCCGCTCGATTCGGAGGAAGTTATACAGGACGTCCCAGCGCAGTAACGGTTAGATCAAATTTAATCGGGATTGTTAACGACGGTTTAATTGGTACCGAATTCCCGTGTAAGCGCTATTAAAATCCGGCACATCGCCGTTATTAAATCGCCCCTGCGACAATCTGTATAAACGGCCTTGCTTTAACAGCCATATAAATTTTATTTTAAGGTGTTTAAAACGTCATTAGCATACTTATTGCTTCTAGGCGAGAAAAGGAAGACGGCAGTTTTACGCCATCGTAATTAGGTGTTACCATTAGGGCATTGTCGACTGCGACTGACAAAAAAAATCCACTCCTGCTATTTTATTGCCTTATTCAAAATTTTAATTAGTAACATAAGGCATCTACACACCTTCGAGGATTAGTAAGGTGATTTTGTCTCGCCGAAAACGCCCGTTAATCAACGACAAATCCGAAAAAATGCAACCGAAATCTGCTTAAAAGGCCACCACAAAAAAGAATCTCATTATCATAAACTGTTATAAAAGATTATGGGAGAACGCATACCCGCCGAATTGCAATATTAATACAGGATTTTTTCTATTTCAAAATATTCTTTTCTTCTTTGTAGTTCTATCTGCATGGATTCCACCATTCTGCTTATACTTATTTCATCAACATCTTCTGTCCTAATTGATTCTGGATACTTTGTACCTTCATTTCCAAACCTAATATCTATTTAAACTTCAAAATATTCTTTACTACTTTAAAACAGGATTCTTCTATCATCAGGATCCCAATCATCTGTTCTCTTATTCCTCTTCATCAACATCTACTTCTACATTTACTGATTCTGGTTACTTTGTAACTTCATTTCCAAACCTCCGGTTCTTTATTAAATGTTCGTTATTATTAGATTTGCTCCGCCAATGACCTGTTGGTGTCCCTGAAGAGGGCTTAGCGCGAACGCTGATCGCGACAAGTAAAAATGAAGACAAAATTTACCGTCAGAAATAACAACAGCATGTGCTTCTGGTCGTAAATTCGGATTTGGCCTTCGGTAATCCTCGGTAATAAGGAGGATTTTAAAATATTTTGTAATCGAACGGCTTAGATAAATTGGTTGATTTACGATCGAAAAAATTAATCAAAATTTAAGAAGAATTTAATGCTATCGTTCGATTTGAACGCGAGTTACTTGGACAGATAAAAATTGTAATTGTAATGTCCTAAAAGAGTACCAATTAGACCACCCATCGACACGAATCATCCAGCTTCTGCTAGATACGAAATGTACGATAGAAATTTCATCGAGACTAACAGACAGCTATTTAAAAAAAAGTTTCTTCTATTCTTATGAATATTTATAAACGCCGTACGAGCTGCACAGCATCGGAATCGCTCACCGACAGAGCGAAAACGCGTCGGAGGTGGATTGATTAGAAAATAAAAACAGTCAGGACACTGTGCAGTCGGATCGTATGACTGAAAATGATACGATAGGGATCTGGAGTGAGGGATTTTTGTTTTTCATTAAACGCCGCACGGTTTTAATTACTTCTGACGCGGTGTCAAGTCTTCATGTTCACGAATGTCCTGGAACAACGGGGGTCTGTATCAACAGATGTAATTGAATTACGCCCCGGACACGGGACGTTCCGAATTACGATGAAAAAGATATCGGAATCGAGACGTTGCTGGCGGAGTGAAAATAGAACGGAATATCCGAAAGGGGGTATTTTTTTTCTCTTTATCGACCAAACAAAACGCGCCGGCCTTTAAATTCCATCGTGCCGAACTGATTAAATGTCTTGGCGTCGATTTTTCCGAGGCGGCCGTCACTCCCTTGTCGCCTAATTAATTAACCTTCGGGATCTCGCTGAAAGAGGAGCTGATTAAAAGATTCCTAAAATTTGATTATACAACTTAGCGGATAATTCGGATGATGAAAGTGAAAAATTCGCCGTGGAAATTAAATTTAACCGAATGGAAATTGTTTGGCTACCAAATACGTATTCAAACGACTTTAGAGTTGAAGATTCGAGTTGTTTCAAGTAGAAATAATTACTTTGGTAATTGTAGAATTTCGTAGGTTTTCTCTCCCTGCGTTGATTGTATGTTTAAAGTAGGATGAATCGTGTTAGGAAGGAAATGATTTATTATATTCATAGATGTAATAAGTCTTGAAAGATTTTGTCAAAAATGAGATAATTCTAAATAATATTATCTAGATATTTGGTAGAATTCTATAGATCATGTAACTGTATTTTGGAATCTTCAGAATACTAATTCTAGTACATCCAGTGCTTTAAAAATTTGTGACAAACTAATAGAATTCTGAATAATATTTTAGAATCCTGAAGAATCCTGTAGAATCTAATTTCTTTGTTCATACCGCAAATCCTTCCATTTGTTTAGCATCCCGTTGTTTCATCGGATTTTCGGTTAGAAAAACTCGTATATTATTCTTTTAATCTATCGTTAATTACCGCATAATCGAATATCGCGAAAAAGCTCCGCATGGCCGGAATTCGAATCGGAGCCGGCTTTGAAGTCCCGCCGTTAAATCAACGAACTAAAACCGTATCGGAATCGGTCATATTTTCCGGTGCACCTCGAAAACTTATCCAATCAGTCCGGAATCCATCGCTACATCGGATTAACGTCATTATTTTCGATTATACTAAAAGCATTACCGGTGCCCGGAATTCGTCATTCGCGTCCGTTTTTATATCCTCCGGTCATCGACTAACAATACCTTTTGATGTTTCCACCATCCACTTGTTGCTAATTAACGTTAATTGGCTTTTATTCGGAGCTTATCGGAAAACTATCTCGCGCAGAGTCGATTTTATTATATTATTTTCCTGTCGGATTGTTCGGTAATTTTTTTTTAAATTAAAAATCCGCAACATCGAGGTTGACGTCTGTTTAAAAATTCAATTACTGGATTCATAATTTCGAATTAATTCTAGGAATTGTTTGGGATCCGAACTTGCGCCCACTCATAGTTAGGTGACAGGTTGACAGGGGGCTTAGTGGAAGTGGAAAGAAAAAGAGCCGGTAATTAAAGCGTCCGCGCAACCGGAGCGTCTAGACAAAAGTAATTTGCGGAATTTGACGTTGATGTTTATTAGATTTTTCGTTTTTAATTTTAAGCAAAATAGTCGCCAACTTGCAATCAAGCAACTAACGCCTGCTGAACCGAACAAGAAAATTATTAATCCCTTTTGCCGGGTTACATTTGCTGCGCTTCTGATCTAGATGTGGCGCTCGATGTGGAGAGATAAAGATAAAGCAAAAGTGAGCTTTATGCTTCGACGTTCAAACGAGCTTTTATACCAACAGAAATCTCACAGGATGTTCCCTTGATTTTAATCGTGAAATGGACGCATGACGGTTTCGTAAATGGAATAATTTTTTATTAGTATTCGAGCGTTTAATATCGAATTGAACTGTTTTACTGCGACAAATCGAATTAAAATTCCTCTCTACGAAATCAAGCGATATCTACAAGCAGGTAGGGAGATTTTTTACGAACGTTAATGCAGACAGGAAAATGCGTTTTTATCGATTACGGTACTGATTCGTATCGTCGCACGGTCTCACTTTAGGCAATAACCAAAAGAATGCCGACTAAAAGCCAGCTAATTACAGAGTTTCCTCTTTTGCTGACCTTCCTGTCATACAAATGGGATGCGCGTAGGTAATTCGAACGGATCCGAATGGGTTCTCAGACGGCCTTTCAGCGTTCCTTTTTGTCTTTTTTGAAATATTAATACACGTAATTCAATTGTGAAAAAGTCCACCGCCCGAATGACAACTTTATGGAAAACAAAAGTAGAGAATGACTCGCCTTAAATAAGCAATTAGAGGCTTAAAAGCCACAGAGGCGTTCCATATTAATTTTCCATCGTGTAGAAAATATATTACATAAAACTCACAATATTAGTAGTTAACATCAACGATGAAAAAACTTTTCGCAATCAAATTTCTCACCGAAAAAACTTCTTCTGCGGCCGTTATTGCACAATGGGGCACGCCAATGGAGTTCCTCCGGACTCCGATAACGCATCTAAGACCGCGTAAGTGGCCACATCTGTCCCTACTTGTCTTTATTCCGTAGAACAAGCACCATAAAGGCCTTTTGAAACAGTTTTTGTTACGTGGCAATAACGCGCATTCCTCGTCCGATGGAGATAAGCAGCCCACTATTCGGGCCCGACTCGTAGAAATCCCGCTAAATTGATTCGAATTCGGTCCGGCCGGTGCTTTATTAATTTCACCAATGGTTCACCGAAAATTGTTCATAAGTTTAAAGGAAATCGTACCTTAAACTTACTCCATCTTGGAGCTGTGAATTACAATCTTTGATCACCGTACTAAACCATCAATATTATTCAGTTGATGTGAACTAAAATAGCAAAACTAGAGAAAATTACCGGTAAAATTTGAGCAAGAAAAGCATCAAATTAGCACAGCTAGCGATCGAATCCAATTAAAAATCGCACACGAAACGAAATCCTTTCCGCGAAAATTCTATTATCCCGTTTGCGAAGTAAACTTCCTTCCTTTTAAAAATATCATTTTTAGAGCCGAGCGATCTTGCGACAGACGAAGGCGAACAAAAAGACGTCCTTTAATCCTCGACAAAAGATTAAAAAGCAACAGCTTCCTCCCGCGGGGACCGACCCCCCCGGACTTCACATCGGTCGGTTGAATCCCGGAGTGCAACCGAACACAATTGGATTTCACCAACTATCACGATCTAATGGGAAATTTTACAAAGATCATTGTATTGTCTTTTGAAGTTCGGATAGCTAGAAATTTCTTCTATCACAGGAAAAATTTTGTATCATTTAATCAATTGACGTAGAGGTATAGCTTTGTATTTACGAATTTTAATAAGCGTTTCCGCATGGAGATCGAACGTCATTTTAGCTTGTACCTGATCCGATCGTGACGTTGTTTCCCGAAATATGGTTAGGTTGTTGTTGTATATCTGGCGGCGAATTATACATGAATAGTTAACGACATGTGTGAATAGTTTCTATGAATGTTTGATCCCCGGCAGAGAATTAGAACAAGGGTTATTCTCGGCTTTGTATCCTCGCGAGGATCTTAATCAGTTACGGCTGATTGCGAACAGACAATAACGATTCCATGCCTTCGGAACACAGCCGAACGTGGATACACGTTTGGATATTAGTTTGTATTGTCGGTGATTTCTATAGCCAGTTTCTGACGCATCGGATGAGTTTTGGGAGATATAACATAATCATTCGCCTTTATGCCAATTCCTGTTGACTCCGAAACTATTATAATATCGATACGCCAAACTTTCGACATGCACAAAATGCTAATTAGTTTAGAATTAATTTATTCCAGAAATAGATTTTACACTTATCAATTAATTTCTTCACCAACTTCGATTTTATCATTGCTATTCTCAGCCGCTCCAACGCGAGATTCGAGTACCGCTATATATCTAAAACAAGGCACTAATCAATCAATAACCAACAAACAACTTTTCACAATATTTACATTACTACAACAATAGCGAAAGAGTTCAATCCCAATGAAAGGTAATTGTACGTTTCTGGATGGACTCTTAAAGTGGCATTGTACAATTGCACGTACGACAACGATGATACCAGTAAAATGATCGTCGTTATTACTGTAATTAAGGAAAAAATTCGGCCCAATTCTTCAGGATCGACCAATTTTGCTATAATAGTCCTCAACATCGGATTGGCCAAACCGGAAAACATCCCAGCAATCGCCGCTAAAGAACCATCAAGCGATTTAAACATCAAACTAACTCAAATTTATTCATACTTACACACGTAAATGTAGATGTCGCTAGTAGCAAAAGCATAAAACAAATTAACTCCGCACGAAGACAGTAACGAAAGCACTACCAAAATAGTTTCTTTCGTTTCTAATTTCTTCTGAAGAAAATAGGTGCAGGATATTGATGATACTATCACCAGCACATTCGCCACGGCTCCAAATGTATTGATTTGCGTCAATCTCCAATCTAGTTTATTTTGTAAGTAGAGAAGCTTAATATTTGTTTCTCCTCCAATCACGAACTGCAATACTACCAAAGTTAAGACGACCAGAAGAATTATGGTTTTTCGATAGTACTCTCTCGGTTTTTGTGCTACTTCGTATAACTCTTTGAAATTAACCAGACTGAACAGATCTTTAATGCTACCTCTGGTCTCCGATATGTTCTTCAATGATTCAGGACAGAAGAAGAAAGTGTAAGCGCACGCAGTTGCCACTAGCAGCGTGGATATAATGTAAATCGTTAAGTAATTAGAAGCGTAAAATATGTAAGATCCGCTAAAACCACCCAAGAGTTTCATTGAAATTATCACAATCTCGTATACAACCATTCTGAAAGTAAACTCATGAAGACTCTAACGAACAATCGAACAAACTTAAACGTACCTCATAGCTCTCGTATGTTCGGTAGATATGTCATTTAAATAAGACGAAATAACGGTAAAAAATGTCATGGTACCGCCGCATACCACCATAGGAATGGTACCGAGCATCAACCACCATGGAGATAGCTCCTTGAAACTTAATAAAACAGTCGAAATTGTGAATCCCAAGGTTTGACCTGCAATGTCGACTTGCACTTAATTGATCGAAAACTTAAACTTTATCAACGAACTTGACCAAGAACTTGATAGAGAACTGTACTACTAACGTACAGTACAACCAAGGATTTCGCCAAGAATTTGACCAAGAACTCGATCAAACTCTTGACCAAGAACTCGACAAAGAACTCGACAAAGAACTTGATCAGGAACTCTACCAGAGACTTCACCAAGAACTTGACCAAGAATTCGACCAAACTCTTGATCAAGGACTATACCAAGTACTTCGCCAATTCTTTGACCAAGTACTTAAACCAAAGTTCGGATTAACTCACATATAAGTACGACGATTAAAACGGGCTTCCTGCCGTACCGATCCGACCACGAACCAATCATTAAAGAAATAGCTATTGGCAAAGCCAGCGGTACCATTTCCGAGACTGTTGTAAGAGTTCCAGTATAAGGTTGAACAATTTTCTCTAAATTAGTAGTCGCAGCATCGTTGTCTCTACCCAATTTCGAACAATTGCTCTCTGGATAATGGAGGATGTTATAGCAAGTTTTGTACATGTTTAAATTCATCAACACACCACCTACAAATCATTCAGTATATTGTTTATCGATAAGAATTAAGGGTCAGTAATTATTATTTACCTACTAGCTGGAAGCTGAGATAGCACAAAGCCAATGGCACTTCCACCGTAATTTTATATTTACCCATTTGATCGATTCGACGGCAGACCAAGTAATTCTAATAATTGTTTTGAAGTAATTCAGTAATTTTATAGCGGGATTCGGGGTCACATTTGTTAATCAAAAATTTAATATACCGTGCTTGCTATCCCCTCAGTATATGTAATTGTTCGCGTTTTATTTATATAAACGCGTAGTTTAGGCATGCGAACGTACGGTATGAAACATTTGAGGCTCGTTCAAGTACTGATTGTAATTTTAATTGATAAGGAAAAGGTATTGGTTCCCTAGAGCACCTGATATGTGGTAATCTGATCACATATGTAGTCCAACAGTTTTAAAATATTGTCTAAATATGTTATCGGTTGTATTGTATTTTGAATTTATTAGAGTATGGTTAATGAAATGTGCATAAATGAAAGTGTAGAAGTATAAAAAAATAGAAGGTACCTACAGAAGGTAAATAATAAAATTAATATGATACAATTTGTTATATTATTTGAATATAAAATGTTAATTAATCTGTTAATTTTTCAGTACTAATTGTACCTAAGTTTTCCTCTATTTTCTGTTTTTCGCTGGGTATTCGAAATTCCAGAATTGTCACGATACTAAAAAAGAATCAGTTAGTTTAATCAGAAAATACATAAAGAAACGCACCTACATTACAATCACAGCTACAATACTGTTCAAACCGATTGAAACGTAATTAAACGTTTCAGGTTTCGTTTTCATGGTGTCGTTGTAAATTTCTTGGTACGTCAGAGCTGCCCCTAACAAACAAAAATTGTTCACCACCATTATTAGCGAAAATACTTTTCCCATTTCCCCGGGAACGATCAATTTGGTGAGCATGGTTCTCAGCATGGGATTCGCCATTCCGCTAAACACACCAGCAGCAACAGCTGGAATAAATAATCTCTGACGTGCCATCTCCAGAACCACCGCATTTTACTACTTACACACGTAAATACTCGCGTCTGAATCAGCAACGGTGTATAACACGCTGCTTCCGATCGCCGAAAGCAACGCCAAAAATATGAGCAGAATTTCCTTCACTTTTAATCTAGTATGCAACAAATAAGTGGTTAACAAAGTACTAGCTATAACGACCATACTAGACCAAGCGCCGAACACGTTCCGCTTGGTCAACGTCCAACCGAGCTTGTTCCTCAGAAACTGAGTCTTAACGTTTACTTCACCTGTAGCTATGAAACCCAATATGACCACGCAGCTGATTATTAGCAAGATTATAGCTCTTCGATTGTACAGCCTTCTCTTCAAAGCGATCTTAAACAGATCCATGACGTTTCTGCAGCTGAATACACTCGATAACGTCGGTCTTTCTTCTATTTGCATGTCCAGAGATTCCGGTACAAACAGGTAAGTATATACAGTACAAAATGCTATGATTGCACAACCGATTCCGTAGACTGCCGCGTAACTGGTCGCGTACAAGACGTACGAGCTGCACAAACCGCCGAAAAGCGTCGCTAAAATTTGCACGATATCGAAAGTCACCATTCTAGAAGACATAAAAACTTATTAAAGCACCACAAGTAGTGTGGAAAGTTTGGTGAAATCCGTACCTCATTGCTCTAGTGTGTGGTGTAGACATGTCGTTCAAATAAGCCAAAGTTATTGTAAGGAAAGTTGTAACTCCTCCGCAACACATAATCGGAATCGTCGTTAGCATAAGAAACCAAGGATTGATTTCTGAGTAAAGGAGCAGTATGGCATTCGAACCGAAAGCGATGGTCATACCTTTAATAATCCAGAAGGAGAATCTTAAGATTGGTTAGAAGAGAAAAGTTGTGTGGTTAGTAGAAGGAAGTGTTGAAATAGATGAAACGGATAAATCAGGAGATGATACAAAGACACTGTACACAGTGTATGTAGTTTGTACGAAAACTTACAGCTTAAAACGAACAAGAGAACCGGTTTCCTTCCGTACTTGTCCGACCAAGAGCCGACGAAAAGCGTCATAATAACAGGAACCGTAGCAGGAACCATTTCGGTGACGGCTGTCATGACGCCTGCGTGAGGTTGGACGAGTCTCTCCAGTTCTTGGGTTTCGTTATCGGTGTATTGGCCCAATCTGGAGCAATTGGCCTCTGGATAATGCAGTATATTGTAGCATACTTTGTACGTCATCAGATTGATGATAAGATTTCCTGTAGAAGCGGAGGTGTTAGGGTGAGTTGATAAAAAGTAACTGTTCAAATTCAAACTTACCCACCATTATGCAAGTGCCGTAAAAAAGTAAAAACGGCACTTCTATTGTCACTTTGCACCGAGTCATGTTGTGTTTGCGCGTCAAATGCTCTCGAACTTTTCTTTATTTTTTTTTAAATATTCGTTAAATATTAGCACAGGCATTCTACACTTTACACTTGAATAGCGTAATAAACAGACAAGTTTTGTTTGCACATAGCGATTGTTATTTATATATTATTATTTAAATTTGTAAATAAGTCAGGAACGTCATCATTGACCGATAATGCCATGTAAATGTTAGGTAAATTTCTGAACGAAATACAATATAATGACAAGGCAATTAAAAGAAATCTGATAATAAGCGACTTTAAATAACTATTTAATGTTACAGGGTTATCTAATATTTAAATGACGAAATTTAATTATACGTTATATTTTTTTATAATCTTCCAGTATTTGTCTTACTTGAACGCCTACAAGAGTGCTCGAGCGAGTAAAAATTAGTGTATAATCTGATTAACGTTAATTGATAAAATGGATTAGTTTGGTAGCTGAAAAAGAGAATTTCTATACAATTCGTTTATCACTTCCACTGTTAAACGATAAAAGAAATTAAATATTTACATCTTTGGATTTATTTTTAATAGACCATTCCATTTTATTGTCCTTCATTTTATTGGGTTTTCAAATGAATTAATAAAATTATTTGCGAAGCGGCCCAATTGTCATGGGTTTTAGGAATATTCAGTTCGAATCATTGGAGAATAAATAATTTACAGAGCAATTGTTTCGGAGTGATGAAAAATTTATAGTACCTATCACTTGTGATTTCTAGTTTAGATAAATTGGAAGTTTGTTCCAAAAACAATGCCTTTAAATGAATATTTGAAAATTCCCGAATGGAATATTCTACTTGAACATGAGATGGTTAATTTAGATACTTTAACAGCGTTTTCCCCAAAGTCGAATAAGCAACATTTAATCATCTTCCCTTGTGTCCTTTAGTCTTTTGGCTCGAGCTAGAAAAACGTTAGACAAACAAAAATCCCGAAGCGATCAAGTAGTTTTTATTAAAAAACAAAGCGCCCAATGCGAGTCAGGATTCATTTCACTTGGTCCTTGTAAACACGTCGGGCTGTGTAAATATACGTTTTCTTTACAGTTTGTTTGCTTCTAGATGAGTTCCTGTATCGTATTGAACCGTTTTATTTATTGGCAAATAGAGGAGTTTACTTTTAGTTGTCGTTTGTAACTAGTGTTTGAATTTCGCAAAATTAGTTATTAATGAACAGCTATTTTTTAGTACATTTTTACTTTAAATGAAGTATGTTTTCACATGGAAGTTTGCTGTAATAAATTGCAGTGCAAAACAAACATTCGGATGGGGAAAATTGGTAGTCTTTTCGTTTATCCGAATTAATCGCATTATGTAATTGCAGCACGGCTATTGTCCGTTGTAGATGGTTAATGGTCGTATGCACTGAAACTGCAACTTTCCAACTGCATGAGGGACCCGTTTATATACGGTACATGTTCCAAATTACAAACGTCGAAATTAGATATTGGTCATTCGACGCTAAAACGACCTACATATACCGAAATTTTCGATGCGGATCTCCCGATGGAATCCGGCTTATTGGACGGGATTCTATTTCAAATTTACATAAAACGGGATTTAGTACGTAACCGGATCCAAAATGGAAAGATATTTTACCTAAACGTTAATGGAATTTATACGATAAATTTTAATTTCAAATAGTATTGGTCATCCGATCGATAGCGAGTCTTGCACAAAATCGCGTGCAAATACGGCAATAAAAGAAAAATTTAATTAAGAATAAACACGTTACGTGACTGACAAACACACACTCGTATATGTCGCAAAATATACACACACGGTCCAATAACTTGCCCGCTGATAAGCCATTATATTCTTTGTGCTAAAGTCGGCGTATAAGTGAACTACCCTTATCACAATGAAATAATAGTTCGGCGTCCCGGAGCTTTTAAAACGGCATTTATACACTGTCGCAAAGAGAATAGAAATGGAAAAATTAACAAATTTATCCGGGGACGTTGGATTTTACGTTTTCCTTCCGACCCAGATTTACGCCTTTGCGGCAAATACCACCACAATTTATTCCAAAAAAAACCAACCCTCCATGTTAATATTGCTCTGCTGTAGCTCAGCTCTCCACCCACAGGGTGTTACTATAATTATAAAGTGGTAAAAATAGAGGAGAGTTTGTTGCTCGATAACCATCCAAATGAGCGAACTTTTGGTAACATTTGCAACAATAATCTCCAGTGAACACCCCAGGATTAGCGAATGATTAGGTGTAATTAGTGTCAAAGTCCAAAAGTATATCGTATATGTTGTGTTTGGTTCGATTGCACATTGGAATTCGTTATACAGCCCTTTTTTTGTTGGTAAACATTCTCTGTATAACACCTATGTCGGTTGGCTGATAAAAAATCAGCAATTGTAAATAAACCCACACCGTTTTCGCCACACGATTTAGAAATAACAAAAAAGTGTCGAGTGAGAGGAGCGCGAGATAAGTATCGCCTTCCATCGGACCATTGTATGCAAACGCTACCATAATACATATTTCTGTCAAACGTCTGGACACCATAACTTAAATCGGTTCTCTCCGGTGCGCATTTTCACGTTTTTACTCTTGTTTTATGCCGTAGATGTCCGACAACTTATATACACGCATTCCATAAGGGAGTAGTGGGTACAGCGACAAAAGTTTTCTCGCCGAACCAATTAAAATTTGTTTACAAACCCCGACGAATTTTCGGTGATTTTTTTTTTAGGTTGATTAAATTATTTAGCTCGGTCGCTAAAAAAATCATGAATATTGAAATAGGATAAAAAAAAGCTAAATCGAATTTTGAACGCGATTAAACCGGTATTGTTTCGTCTGAGCTCTGATTGATCGAAATTTGCACTTTTAATTGAGCGCAACAGTACAAATCCGACTATTTCGGAAATTCATCAATCCCGCTCATTTTAATTGACTGAATACATTTAATCACAATCGGCCAGCAGAAATCGTTAATTCCGACAAGCATTCCCTTTAATTTATTTCATTGCATCGGTTGAAATACAAATCCACCTGAAGAGACATTTGGAAAATTACCAAAACTACTAATCCAACAAAAAATGGTGGAGGAACGATATGCATCTACCATTTAATTTTAATTTCCAGAATTACTGACTAAATAATAATTCTTCCAAACTAATAGTATTGCAAATGACGAATAAATTCCTCCCGTTAATTTCACTTTCGTTCGGGATGGTCATTTTGGCTCGTCCGTCTCATCTCTACGCATTCCGAATGGTCCAATTAAAGCACGCAACACGGCCGATAAAGTAGACCTAATAAATCCCGGCATTGTTTCTCTATCTAATCTCGCATCGAGATCTTCCGATCGAACGTCCGGCGAAAAAATCAATTCCGAATACCAACCCTAACAAGCCGGGAGATCGCCGGCCTCCGTCCGCGCGTTAAATGGTAATTTTTCTTATGAATTTCGCGCGGGAGATTTATTTTTTTCTATCGCGACAAAGTGAATCTTCGGCGATCGATCGTCGGAGTATCGTAATAGGAAATCAGGGAGGGCCTCTAACCCTCATTAATAGGTACCCCGCCTGGCGCGCGATTTGTCTGAAAAAAACCGTTCCACGACTTCTGACCCGTTCCATTTCCATTTCGAATGCCATCCGTTCCGAACGATTGACGGGACACGCCGATAAACCGAACAGTTCGAGGGCTGGGGGTTTTTTATTCCGTATACGGGTTATCGCCCGTTACTAATTTTATTGGAAAAAATTTGTATCGAAGCTGTATTAATAATAATAATCGTAAATTATTATTTTGACTGCCCTATATCGTGCAATAATAATTAAAATGATAAAGAAATGATAGTGTTGAGATAATGATTGGGTGTGAAAGGTGCAATGGTAATGCTTGGTATAGGTCAAGTAATCAGTTTACAAGATTTCAGAAGAAAATGATGATAATGGGAAGAGGTTAGAAAATATATTAAAATTTTGTTAATAAAAAATTTGATGTAAAAGAAATTTAGTGATCTTATAGTAACATTTCAATCGAGTTGTTCCTCTTTAACGCCGATTTTTCCTGTCCGACGACGGCAGGAAAAATTTATTTGAAACGACTTCGGTTTTACATTAACCTAATTTAATCAACGTACGTAGGAGGTTTTTTTATTCCACGCGATCTCCAATGCCGTCGTCCTTTTATCCGAACTGGAAAAAAAATGTTATTCCGGCTTTCGCTAATCTACACTGCCACCGAATGACACGTCGGTGACTGATGTGGTTCGAATAAAGTCATTATTTCGCCATATCGCCGGCCGGCATCGGACACGCGAAAATAAAAACCGAATTAATCCTGAAAAGTTTTTAATGCTCGCCAGGTCTTGGGGCCATTATTCCGAAATTAGGTCTGTATCGTTCGGTTCATAAAATCCCTAACGGGTCAACGGCTATTATCCGTATCATCCAAATGCACTAAACAATTCACAAAAATAATAGCATAAAATTGCAGAGGAATGAATGGCAGAAGTTGATTAGATGATGAAGAAATTTAACCAAAATTCGTGGTTGGAGAAAGGGTGAGATTTGAGGATGATGAATTATTTGGGCAAACTCCATAGGTTTAGAGCAAATACTGAAGCAAGATACATTCCTAATCGGCCAATGCTAGTAAATGTATCATCTAAATGCACTCTACAACCCACAAAAAATAAGAGCATTAAAATTACAAAGGAATGAATGGTAGAAGTTGTTAAATAAAATTAACCAAAGTTTGCAGTTGGAGAAGAGGTGAGATTTGAGGAGAATGAATTATTTGGGCAAACTCCATCGCTTTGGAGCAAATAATGAAGCAAGATCACTTCGTATATACGGACTCGCCGAAGGAAATACTCTTTTTTTATCAACGCACAAGTTGAAAGCAGATATACATCAACCGGCAAACAGAATGCATAAATACCCGCTCTTCGATAATCTAGACAAATTCTGCGACAATTTGCATTGTGCGGTCTTCCGAATGATTCTTCTTACGGCACCAGTAGCGTAGAAACAACACATTTTAAGACAATTTACTTCTTCTCGTTCCACATTAACTTTACATAAACTTATTCCACCAATATTATCTACCAAATTTACAAAAGAAACGCATATAAAATTGGATGCATCTATGCAGACTTTACGAATAAGTTGGGGCATAGCCCGTAACGCCATTGGTACGGTCTTGATTTGTTTACGTACTTATTCAATACCGGATTAGGGTTAAACGTATGCACCATGCGCTACTATAATTTTATCAGTCTCAATGGTCGATCTTCAATTAAACGGCCCGCTAAGGATATCGCGATTTATATCTGTTTCGTCTTCTTTATTTCTTCTTATTTACCCGTCGATTGTCCGGCGGTAATTGTAATGGCCGCGAGATTATCTTTTAAGGAGTTTGTTTTGCCCGGCATTCCGATCCGTTGTCGCGGGGTTGTTTTGCGCTGATATCGAACGATAACAAATTGCCGTACGTTTTACTCACGCGCTATTTTTTCTACGACTTAAAAAATGGATTCTATTATGTGATTTCAATGAAAAACCCACGTGTAACAGCCGAACTGGCTCGTAAATTGAGCGTTTTCACAACATCCTTAGTTGTAAATTGATGGAAAAAAAGCCACGAACGCTCGTAAAATGTCGAAAAATCTACGTAGCTATTACTGTTTCCGATTTGAATTTTTATCTAAATCGTCGACTAATCGACTCGAACCATTGACGTAGAATTCGAACAATTTAAAATGCACCTTTAGCGAGTAACGCGCGCATTGACGCGATCGAAACGTTATTCGTTCATCGTTGCATTTCCGCTCAACACTCGACGTTAATCCAATCAAGTGTTTATAAATTTAACTCGCTCAATGCCCCTTACGGCGCACGAAATCCCCCCGCAATCGACGCCGGTGGTTTCCAGAAAATTAAGACCCATCACCGCGAGTTCCGTCGGAGCCAATCTAGATACCAGAACTCCCAAAACGTTGAAGAATTTGATGGAATAGATATCTAAATGTATTTAGTCAA